CTGGGGCTGTGATTCAGTTCCCCTCCCCCAGCCCACCCCCTCTGCTCGGAGGCTGACAGCCGGAGCCGCAGCTTGCTGGAGCCCAGGAGCTGTTTTCCGAGCCGTGGAAGAGAGACCCAGGGATTTTTTGCAGTTCCCCAGCACCTGCTGCGTCCCGGGCCGGACGCGCGCACGGACATGGAGAGAGTCAGCCTCCAGCGACCCGCCTGGAAATGGCAAGTACTGAGTTTGTTTTCGCTCTGCGGCTGGGGCTGGGTCTCCGGGCAGATCCACTACTCGGTGGTCGAGGAGTCGGAGGTGGGAACCGTGGTGGGGAACGTGGCCCGGGACCTGGGCTTGAAGGTGGAGGAGCTGCCGGGTCGCAGGCTGCGCCTGGGCTCAGAGGAGAGCCTGCGCCACTTCGCCGTGCGCCTGGACACTGGTGAGCTGGTGGTGAGCCAGCAGCTGGACCGGGAGCGTCTGTGCGGAGCAGCTGCCAGCTGCGTGCTGTCGGTGCAGGTGGTGACAGAGAACCCCCTGCAGCTCTTCCGCCTGGAAGTGGAGATCCTGGACCTGAACGACAACTCCCCGAGCTTCCCCACCACTCACCGCACTCTGCGCGTTGCCGAGTCTGCCACAGTGGGTGCACGCTTCCCCCTGGAGAGCGCGCAGGACCCCGATGTGGGCACCAATACCGTGGGGTCCTACTGGCTGAGCCCCAACTCCCACTTTTCCCTGGACGTCAAACAGCAGCAGGATGGCAAACTCTTCCCGGAGCTGGTGCTGGAGCGTGCCCTGGACCGGGAAGAGCAGCCAGAACTGCAGCTGGTGCTGACGGCCGTGGATGGGGGAAGCCCAGCCCGCTCAGGCACAGTGCAGATAACAGTGCTGGTCCTGGATGTCAATGACAATGCACCCACCTTTGACCGTGCCACATACAAGGTGCAAGTCCCAGAAAACATTCCTGTGGGGGCCCTGCTCCTCCGGCTCAATGCGTCTGACCCCGATGAGGGGCCCAATGGGGAGACGCAGTACTCCTTTGGAGTTCACACCTCCGACTTGGTCCGGAGGCTCTTCACCCTGGATCCCCACAGTGGTGAGGTCCGGGTGAGTGGGGCCCTGGACTTTGAGGAATCACCTTTCTATGAGATCTACGTGCGAGCCCATGATGGAGGGGTCCCGGAGATGGAGGGCCACTGTGTACTGCAGGTGGAAGTGGAGGACACCAATGACAATCCCCCAGAGGTGCTGCTCACTTCCCTGCTGAACCCAGTGCCAGAAGACACCCCACCAGAGACCGTTGTGGGGCTCTTTAACATACGGGACCGAGACTCGGGGGCCAATGGGGATGTAAG